GCAGAGCTGCTCTCCAGCAACACACCTGCAGAGCTGCTCTTCAGCAACACACCTGCAGAGCTGCCACATGGCGACTAAGGTCTACTGCAGGGTGTTTGTGAATGAAGCGCCATCTCATGGTTCAATCCTGAAATTGAACAAATGGGGAAATTTGGCAACGCCCCCAGCCACTGGGACCCGCTGGGTGGAGTGCTATCTGGAGTCCTATCTGGAGTCCTATCTGGAGTCCTATCTTGAGTCCTATCTGGAGTCCTATCTGGAGTCCTATCTTGAGTCCTATCTGGAGTCCTATCTTGAGTCCTATCTGGAGTCCTATCTGGAGTGCTATCTGGAGTCCTATCTGGAGTCCTATCTGGAGTGCTATCTGGAGTCCTATCTGGAGTCCTATCTGGAGTCCTATCTTGAGTCCTATCTGGAGTCCTATCTGGAGTCCTATCTATCTGGAGTCCTCTCTGGAGTCCTATCTGGAGTCCTATCTGGAGTCCTATCTTGAGTCCTATCTGGAGTCCTATCTGGAGTGCTATCTGGAGTCCTATCTGGAGTCCTATCTGGAGTGCTATCTGGAGTCCTATCTGGAGTCCTATCTGGAGTCCTATCTTGAGTCCTATCTGGAGTCCTATCTGGAGTCCTATCTATCTGGAGTCCTCTCTGGAGTCCTATCTGGAGTCCTATCTGGAGTCCTATCTGGAGTCCTATCTGGAGTCCTATCTGGAGTGCTATCTGGAGTGCTATCTGGAGTCCTATCTGGAGTCCTACAGATGAAGCGTCTTATTTTGGACAGTTTAAAGTGCGAGGGTCGTGATCGGTTCATGCACGTTCCGTGATGGCCGGCCGCCCCCCAGTCTGACTTGATACCGCCCCCATGATAAATACATTTAATTATTGTGAAGCCAGCTGCAATGGATCATTGATCCACCAGGGGGTGCAGTGGGGTTCCACACTGGAGTCATGTGAAATCAACTTCTAAATAATAGATGTTGTTTAGTCGGAAAAAAACGAACGAGCCGGCTCTCCCGATTTTTAATCCTAATTTAATCATCATCATTGATGTTTATGTTCGCCGAATTGACATGAAATCACTGACAAATATGAATATTCTGTATTCAACTTCATTGAAACGATCAGGATGGGTGTTATTTTTCCCCACAATGACCAAGTCGCTGCAAATGATCCCATGTATTACATGTACATGGCCACATTCTCAACAAAGTTACGTAACGAAACATTCTGTATTCCTTGCTTACTTTTTATTTAATGCTTTATAACAGCTGGAATAGTTCGTTTAGAACAGGCACCTCACTCGCAATCTGCTCCTCCGCAACGCCTACCTCCGGCTGAAATTATGAATGTACAGTAAGGCATAGTAATCATAGATAACACGGCAGGGTCCGTTACAGTTTGTTTTCATCTGATTTCAAATATTTCAAATGTCTGAAGTTAATAAATACATTCTCAGTGTTCAAGTCAATAATAGTCATATAAGAAAAGTACTGATCTAATAACAGAGATTTTATAAGGACTTTTCAATGTTCGACATCGCTCATGTGAAATACAGTAAACTGGATGTTGTGGTGCCGAGAGGCGGGGTATCAAAAGTACAAGCTAAACTTTTATTTAGCATCTGAACACACTTGTAAACAACGTGATGCCCGGGAAGCGAAGATCCGGCGGAAACAGCTGGTCTGGTTCACTAAAATGTCCGTGTACAGTATATCTGGTACTAATGTATAGCGGATCTTTGTTAAGATCCATATGTCAGTAGAGATGGGATGGCAGAAGTGCTATATATATATATATATATATATATATATATATATATATATATATATATATATAATTCCAAAGCTGGTAAAGACCTTTCAAATTTAGCAATAATAGTCATATAAGAAAAGTACTGATTTGTTCTTGAATCAACTTTTTTATGGAAAATGTTTTATGTAATTTTATTTCATTTTAAATAAAATGAAAGACATTCACAGTTAATGTAATTAGATATACATTATTAATGCCATACATTTTTAAATGTAATTAGATATACATTATTAATGCCATACATTTTTGCATAAATATTTATTCAGTATGATAGCTGTCTAACAGAAGTTAAATCCATTTCTCACTTATTCTGACAATGTACTTAACCCCAAATAAAAGAACCCAATAAAAATAGTTGTTAAATAATAGTGAAGTCACGTTGTAATAACAATAACTCATCTCTCTCGGTTTTTTTTGTTTTCTTTGTGTGCTTTGCCAAAAGCCACTGTATCAAGTGTCCTAGTTGGGTTGCCGTACGGAGTTGAGCAATATGCACATGCGCAGTACCGATCGGGCAGGTGGACGGATCGGGTAGTGACAACTGCAACCCAACTAGGACACTTGACGTCTCGACCGTCTAGGCGGCTGGCCAATATGCGAATATGCATTGCGCATGCGCGAGTCTTATGATCTTATTAGGTGAGTTAGGTGAGTTAATTATTAGTTGTTAGTTAATTAGGTGAGTCTTATTAGGATATTAATGCCATACATTTTTGCATACATATGTATTCAGTATGATAGCTGTTGTTAGAAATTAAAATCAATGTTAAACAGCATAATTCAGTCTAAAACATATCGTCAGTTTAAAGCTGTTTTATTGTGGAAAAGCCTGGAAGTTCTCAGGAAATCAATGCCAAGCTTTTATTCTGAAAAATCCTTTATCCGGTTAGCTTGTGACTAATGTTGCGTTTTCTGAATGTAAAGTGAAAATGACTTGGAGTGTTACACACAAACGTACGGACTTTAACACTACATCGATAGACGTTAAGATATTATTACTGCTGAATATTAAATGAAGGTCTAGTTGATCGTAGTGTTTACAGATACGTGAGAAGCTATGACGTCAGAGGGAATTTCCGTAAAATAAGAACTGTGCCGGAGCGGAACCACTAGGACTTCTAAACTAAGTATTACAGCTGTTTATAAGGTATTAAATAGAAAGTCATGACAGAGATAATGAGGAGAAAATGCTTAAGGAAGTAGGCAGAGAATATCAATGTCGAAATCATCTGTGCTCTCGCGATATCGAACCGGCAAATGAGGCCCCGGCTCCACGAGGACAAATACGGCAAAACGCATCGGAGAAACGCAAACGCAACCGCAAAAAACCTTCCGCCCACACGCAATATACACCGGATTGTGTCAAGCTCCACGAGACGGCTCCGTTTACATCCAAACGCTGGAAAAGCTGCAGTACATATGCCGAACCTGTACGTGGCGCTGTAACTTCCTCCACAAAAGCAGCAACTTCCTCCACAAAAGCAGCGAAGAAGAATGGTTGTCATGGCTGCACTTCTGTGTATTCTCCGCGGTGGGGGCCGAGGGAACCGGGCAGAGTTTTTCGCCGGTCAGCGTGTGTTAAAGTTTAAATCTTCCGGACAAAATTATAAAAGTGCCGGTCAAAGGTCTTCATTGTTATTTATTGAGCTTTAAAACAAATGAATAACGACGATATAATGATATATAATCATCAAATACACAGAGCCTGTCTCTTTTTCCTCTCTTCTCACAGCGTCAGTGTCTGTCTCATGCAGCAGCTGATCCTGTAATGAGTGACCCGACAGTAAAAATGAACATATTTATAACTAGTTTAGTTTGAGAGGTAATTAAAATAGCTAAGGGTGATGATCTGACTTGAAGTGTGTGTTTTGCTCCCGCTGCATCACAGCAGGAGGAGCTGCGTGTCTCCGTCCTGTCAGATTAGACTTCACTCGCGTTTATGTCCATATCGAGAGAAAGATCAATAATCTGAATTCAAGGAGGAGCTCCTGTAGATGTTGCACAAAGAACTGTAGCATGGTCAGTAGCGACTGGAGCACGATAGCAACCCTGCGGGGGAGAGGTGGGGAGAGGCGGGGAGAGGCGGGGAGAGGTGGGGAGAGGTGGGGAGAGGTGGGGAGAGGTGGGGAGAGGCGGGGCTATGAAAACGGATGACCGTATAGGCGACTCCACGGCCCCGTTGGACCCCCCAGAGCGCTCCGTTCCCAGATCTATCCACCTTTGGACCCGTTGTCGTTTGCGGGGTCTGTTTCTACGTTTCCCTTACGGCGTCGTGGAGCTTAGAGGGCTATACGCATGAGAAATATGCGGATTCAACCAGTTTTCGTCCTCGTGGAGCCGGGGCCTGAGTAGGGGGCCACCCACTATTTGCACAGCGGGGGACAACGAGACGTGGATAAAAAGGCAGGACGAAAGATAACTCAGTCTCTTCCCTTCGCTGCAGCCTCCCTCAAGACAACACCGGCTTTGTCTCTCCATTCACCATGCTTGTTCTTTAACCACGTTACTTAATTAAACTACCCATTTGAACCTTTTCAGAGACTCCATTAGTCTCGTTATTTTAAGTTTCTTTCCTGGGAGCGAGAAGATCACAAATTATCAACACTGTCTAACAGAAGTTAAATCCATTTCTCACTTATTCTGACAATGTACTTAACCCCAAATAAAAGAACCCAATTGGCGGACCATCTCGCACATGCGCAGTACCGATCGGGCAGGCGAACGGATCGGGTAGTGACAGCTGTCATAGTTCGTTTAGAAATCCTAGAAACACTTTATGAACAGGGTTGGGAGGGTTACTTTGTAAATGTAATCAGTTACTGATTACTGAATACATGGCTCTGAAAGCATCCGAATACAGTTACAGTTACGTGTTTTAAAAAAGTAACGTAATCAGATTACTTTCTTTATCCATCACAGATGAGAAAATAATAAAACAAATACAAAGAGGAAACAATTTGATATGTCTACCATTTATTTTAGGAGTATTAATATTTTTTCAGATAGGATCATACATTTACAAAACATCACCATGTTTTTATTTAACAAATTAATCTACAATAAATCCTAATCTTATATTATAAAACATCACCATGTTTTTATTTAACTAAATAATCTACAATAAATCCTAATCGTATGGTCCTATATTGAACAAACTATGCCTATCTGCGGCCTATCTACAGTTGAATCTATCTGTGGCGGAAACCAGGGCGAGGTGTTTCTGGATCCGTTTTTCTTGGGCTCCTCAGTCTCTCGTTTACCCGGTTCCTAATTTTATGCCACTGGTCCGTGGTCAGGCCTGGGAACCGACGGGAGACACTGGACTCAAGTGTCTGCCTCACATTGAGGGGAAGAGGCATTTTCCCTTTGCTCCCACTCCAGTTTGTGATTTTGGCCATGTTCTCATATGAGTGAAATGGCAACATGGCCATGAACATATCACCCGCAAATTTCTCTGGGCGATGCTGTCCACTGCGAAAGCAGTCCTCGAAGAACTTGTCCTCGCGAGCCGCGGAAACTGCCCTGAGGAGGGTGGGCGCATCAGGTGTGTGCGACGGTCGTGGTATTGCTTCCGACCGGAAGTGACCGCTTCCAGTGACCGCTGGAATTGGCACCTCTGCCTGTAGAGGCTGTGGGTCTGCGTCTCCCACAGGTAACTCAAACAGCCGTCGCCTGGATTGGACCTGTGTGTCCAGGTGCTGCTGCAGTTCCAACCTCATGGCAACCTGTGCCAACGTCATGGCAACCCGCTCCGACTCTGCAGTGTGCTGTGCCACCGTCATGGCAGCGCGCTCCGACTCTGCAGTCTGCTGTGCCAACCTCATGGCAGCGCGCTCCAACCTCATGGCAGCACGCTCTTCTGTCAGCTCCAACACTTGTGCCTCCGTGGCGGTTAACCGGATTTTCAGTGCCCGGATCTCTGCGTCAGGCAATCCGCCAGCCGCACATGAAACAGCCACCGGGAGCACCTTAAGTGTGATGGCCTGATAGGAAACAGAAAAAAAATATGAATACCAGTGGTCACATTTGTATTCCAAAAACGATATGTTAAAACTAATTAATACTTTCTATTTGTATTGAGATATAATAATAATAATGAGACCCCCCGCCCCCAAATCAAATCCCAATTCAACCCCTAAGTATTAATGATTGACAATGAGGGCCAATAGTACGTACCGCTTTCTTTTTAACCAGTCTGACTTTGCTTGGTTTTTTGGTCGCAGGAGACGGCTTCACCTTTTTTGCAGTGTCCATCTGCGGGGCGGACTATAGGAATTAGGAATAAAGAATATAACACAATTAGACATAAGCACAAGTGAAATTAACAAATAATCACACATACAGTAGGTCCAAAGGGCAGAGTATAGGTTATTTACAATCAATTTATGTCAGCTCACCTGTGCAAGAACTTTTCTTCTCTTGCTCTCGTAGAACTTGTTGGAATCCATTAAGTTCTTCTTAGTTCTCTCACAAATAAATGTTGTGCGTTCTTCTTCTTCACAAAAGACGGTGTGCCAAAAGCAAGTTATGCACTCTATTTATCTGTGAATCGTACATGGTGTTCGTGCACCTGGATTTCTATTGGCGCGTCTACAGCTACAGCCGCACCTACTTTTGTCGGCTACTAATTTGCGTAACCGGCTTCTGGAATCTGGAATCCACTATTCCACTACAACAGCCAGGATGCGCATCAACCGTGAGAAGTCCCAGGAGGTTCGTGTCATGCGGGCAAATGGAAAATCAACAAGAGAAATTCAAGAACATTTTGCAAGCCTTGGCATAGCAATTTCACAAAGCACTCTGCGATATCACTTCCAGGCGAAACCACCCCGCCGCTCAGGTCCAAGAAAACTCAAACCGTAAGTAGCCTACCTTATTTAATAGTATAGCACGTATCGTAAACAGCTGACATGTGATAGTTCTGCATTTCCCTGATGGCTTTTGTATTTTTCTTTTACAGCAATATCGTGAATGCGATCGAGAATGCGACAACGGCTGATGACGAACTCCCGGCTCATGTTGTAAAGCGGAAAATTCAGGCGGACTTTGGGGTTTCGCTAGGACTCAGCAGCATCCGCAAGGCCAGGAGAAAACTTGGCTGGAAATATGGCAGGACCCGTTTCACTCCAATGATCAGAGATCACAATAAAGAAGCAAGGCTGAGACAAGCCCTCCAGTGGATCGAGTCTGGGGAAACGTGGCATGATGTGCTTTTTACGGATGAATCCACAATAGCTCTGGAACACTTTGCAAGGCTCAGTTTCAACAGAAAGAACCATTCTGTTGCAAAGCCTCAACCGAAACATCCGATAAAGTTGCATGTCTGGGGAATGATTTCGCACCACGGTCCAGGCCCTTTGGTTATCTTTGAAGGAATCATGGACAGAATTTACTTCGAAAACAGTATCATCAAGGAAGCTGCAAGTCCATACACCAGGGGACATTTTGGGTCGGATCACCGCTTCTTCCAAGACAATGACCCGAAACACAGCGCGGCAGCAGCTGCAATTGCGGCTGAGGGAATAAACTGGGTTAAAACTCCACCCGAATCTCCGGATTTGAATCCCATCGAGTTGGTCTGGCACTTGATGAAAGACTTCATTCGGAAGGAGGCTAAACCAGGCTCGAAGCAGGAGCTGATGCAAGCGATAGAGGATTTTTGGAGGACAAGACTGACCCAGGAGACCTGTAGTCGACTAATTGCAGGCCTCAATAAAGTTCTGCCATTGGTTGTGAAAAACAACGGTGGACATAGTGGAAAGTGAAATTGAGATTGTCAAATTTAATAAAAATACAAAATAATGTATCTGTGTACGTGTTTTATGTGATCTGCATGCACTTATCAAACATTACACCGTTACAGTTACTGATTTCAAATAAACAAAGTCTTGGCTTTCAGAATATTAAACTTGTTTCAGCAAATTTAGATGATAAATACAACTATGAAGCTTGTAACGGCATAATTACTTAAGCGGAGAACGGAGTAAGTTAACGTTACAGCAGGCATAACAACAGCCAGTGTTTATTTTATTATAATGTATAGTCGTTATTCATTTGTTTTAAAGCTCAATAATTATTTGAAATGATTTGCCCTAAACTTCTGCTCTCAGACATAGTTAATTATTAAGTTATTACCTTATCCGATAATAATCCAATGCAGAGGCAATAATGTTATATAAAACATTATTTATATATAGTCTTAAAGTTACAACCGGCCCTTTGAGTGCAACCTTAATGCTGATGTGGCCCGCGATGAAATTGAGTTTGACACCCCCTGCTTAAGGGAAATGTGAACATGGAGGTGTAAAGATGCGGTTGCAGGTCAACACAAGACAACACATTAACTATTTAAATGGTCATAAGACATACACTGAGCACTTCCTTGGCATCAAGGTAATCACTAGAGAGATTCTCACTTGAGGAATCTTAACCTGAGCCACAATAAATTGTCTATAAATAGATTCCCAACATCTCAGTTGTATTAAAAATGAATAAGGCCATCTTCACGAAAAGTTCAAAAGGGGGAGGGGGGAGAGAGTTAGACGCTCGTGAATCTTACTGAGAACGTTATGTTTCCTCTGACTGCTTATGCCAAAAGCAACGACAAATTATCTGTTTTAAATACCTTTTTAGACCGTAAACTTTAGAATGAAATGTAATACCGGTTAGTTTTTTGTGTTCATACTGACAGAAGAAGAAATAAATTAAGTATGAATGAGAATAAGACTTATGTAATGTATTGACATTTGATCAGTAGCCTATAAATGTATTACTAACTTTATCCACTGTGGTACCGAAGCTTGGATCACCGCCAAAGACATGGCCGAGGGCAGCTGGCAGCTTTCAATATTTTTCATGTGCGATTCTAACGCTTTCAGAAAGTGAAACATACAGCATCATTTGAGAAAAATAAATCAAAATAAGCGTTATAAATGAACCCTGACTACTTGTGTTTAGGACTCACTGTATTTTGCTACTCTCTAGGTCTGTGGGCCAAATCCAGATATGGGGGGGGGGGGGGTTCTGTTAGAAGGTGCGACGGGGGAGGGGGGAAAGGGCCTATGGGCTTAGCCCCGGACAGGTACAACAGGTATTCACTCAGAGGGGGGTAGTTACCATTTACATGTCAAAAAGCAACAAACAGTGGGCGGGTGGGGGATGGTGAACGTTTACATTTATTTACGTTTACATTTATCTACAGAATACTATCTACTATCTACATTTATCTACAGAATACTATTTAGTTTATTAAGAAATACATATTTGTAGCTTTTTTTTTATCTGCAGTAGGAAATGCAGAGAGTAGCGACAGGGCTGGTCCAACCTGATCTGTAAAGTGATCTAACTAAGTGCTATTCATTTTCTTGACGGGGAAGTGCAGTGTAAATGGGGGGCTTATATGCATTTGAAAAGCAATATAAATCACACAGTTCGTATACAATAGGCATTAAAAGCACCGTCGATAACCATTGCCCTTCTCCTATTCAAACCAAAAGAGAAAATGCAGATATTACACTCTGAAAAGAAAGGGTAGACATATCTGTACTCTTAGTGCCAAGTAGCTAAGCTATTCATTCGCAGAAATGTAAAGTGGTCTATCTAAGTTCTATTCATATTCTTGACGGGAAGAGTTAGTATACAATAGAGTTAGAGTTAGTATACTTTAAAAGCCTTCTCCAAATCAAACCAAGATATCTTGGGTATTCACTCAGAGGGGGGTCGGTGAACCGGGCAGAGTTTTTCGCCGGTCAACGTGTGTGAAAGTTTAAAGTTCAATCTTCCTTATTGAGCTTTATAACAAATGAATAACGACTATATATTATAATAAAACTATATATTGAGCTTTAAAACAAATGATATATATTATAATAAAATAAACACCGGCTGTTGTTATGCCTGCTGTAACGTTTACTTTCTCCGTTCTCCGCTTAAGTAATTATTACTTCCTGGTTAGCTTTCCGCTCGAAATTTAAATCTGAAAATGGCAAAATAACGGAGAAAAAAACGTTCACAGAGAAGACGACAACAATTGTCACTTGCACAAAGCAAGGTTATACAAAAAACCTGTGTAGATATACATTATACTATAAAGGATATCAGAAGCACTATTTTAGATATTTTAAATTTGAAAAAATGAGGTGCAACATAGTTGACAATGAAGTCAAACATTTGACGCAAATAACATAGTTGACTGGACACATTATTAACCATCAGCACTATGTTCATTTCAAGGCAGAAGTGCAAAATTCCATTGATAATGATGTGTAATGACGTCTACATGTCGTACAAATTGTCAACTAGGTTACCTGTCAACTAAGTTACTACAGTTATTACAGTACTGGGTAACTTAGTTGACAGGTAACCTAGTTGACAATTTCCCTATTTTGACCCATCATTTCAATGGTAGGCCTTGCCTGGATGACCACATGTCATTTTCTTGAACAGGTTAACATCACATTTGCACATATAATTGAATTAAAATCATTAAACAATTGTAAACCATAACAATGTACGTAACATTGTTGATTGTCAATGAGTATATTAATTGACCATGTGCTATTATACATAAAATATTGTAAAAATGTAGAGGTCAATCACCACAGTGTGTTCAAAATGTCTGCCAAAGAGGAACATGGCATCATGTGATGCTGGTGACATGGTATTGGGACAAACCATTTTTGAGTTAAAGGGGGAAGTTCTGTTAGTAACATAGTTGACAGAACTTTTGCGGACATTCATATATTAAGATATTTAAATTATTTAAAGGGGGAAATCAATTAAAAATATGTTATTATTCTTTAGTATTTAGACTTTTGAAATAAATGAATACTTTTTTAAATTTACTTTAATGGTTTTTATTCATTATTTTGAATCCAAGACACCCTCAACTGAAAAACGGACATAGCAAAAACTGACAATTTAAGAACATCATGACACATTTCAAGCTAAATAAAGCATAGGATGCACATAATGTTTGTGTGATATTATAACATGCTTTCCAATAATAGGCAAAATATGATATTTTTGAAGAAAATAGTTAGAATAATTATAATTATCATCAATGGACATCAATGGACATGGAATGTACCCTAAATTGTAGAATCACTCAGCAGTTACATACACCAAACCTTCCAGTTATATTCCTATCAATATTATGAAGGCTTTTACAGAAGGGTTTGGTCATATATAATTCATAGCCTGAATTATATAACATTTTATACCTAAAAACATGGTGAAAATTGATATTTTAGGGCTGTTGACAGTATTTTCTGATTTATGGAGTGATACAAAGAGATATCCAAAATCCCTTCTGTAAAAGCCTTAGATACTAATATGACTACAAAATGAAACAATAATTTTGATCCTGGCTTTATCCAAAGTTCAGATTTCGGTTCCTGAAATGTGTTAAAATATGCGCATATTTCATGAGATAATAGTTCATTTGGATATTTAAACATGCTATTTCAGAAAACTTGTAATACAAAAAAACAATTGCCTTATTGTAAGTAATTAACTGGAGAAATATTTAGCTGATATCTTTAAGTTAAAAATACCCTATTCACCTGGGGTGTCTCGCCTTAATTAGATGTTTGATAAGTGCAGATCACATAGTAAAACACGTACACAGATACATTATTTTGTATTTTTATTAA